TACAGAGTTGAACACTAAAGAAGGTGATGAGTTCTTGCCAAAAGATTGTGAGAGTGATGTCTTCTACTCTATTTATAAGTGACACATCCTCTCTAGGGTTGATCTTGGCCATTGGGTTGAATTCAACGGTCCAGATTACTCTTTGACTATCTGATAATGGACTCAATCTAGTTTATTTTCGTAGCTTTTCATTGTTAATGGTTAGTTTCTAATGGCAGATAAATGACAATCTAAGAGACTCGTTTCAGAGAGGCGTACGAAGAACCACCATGATGGATCCTCATCGTCTAGGTTGATTGATCCTGACCCGGTGGACATGCGATATGGGTATTTGTTCGAAAATAATGAGACTTAGAATACTCATTTTTTATTAGGTTATCTTCCAAGAAACACAGTGAAGGAGAAGTCTTTGGATTCAACATTTTCCATGGTACAAGATTGTTTTATGTTTATATTGTCATTTTATCGGGTTGATGTATTTTGATTTAGACATTGTATGGTTTGTGCCTATGTCTATGTACTTAACTTAAGTCCCTTAGGATCACTCCAATTGTCTCACCAACAATTATAGCAATACAAAACATCCAAACAGATGTAGGGCAACCTCCCTACGTTCAAAATTATCAAAAAAATTAGAAAAAGATTAAGAAACGAGAGAGTGATTGAGATTCTCTTCAAGGATATGCAGAACTAGCTTAAATAGGGTTAATTTTTGAATTCTACATGTTCTGATGTTTTCCAATGTCAATTCTTATTCAGAAACCCTTGTAATATGTTTATATAGGTGTTTTATCAAATTAATAGTTATTTATAGCCGCTGGACATCTAAAAATTCGAATTACTTAAGCTTTAAATCACTTATGACAGGGAGTAATCGATTACTTTTCGTGGGGTAATCGATTACTTCTTCAAAGAACCCCGGTCATCGATTACTTTCAAAAAGCATTCGATTACTTCATATCAAAAACTTAGTTTTCATCTGATTTTTCGAATTTAGTGAATCTAACTAACTTCTAAATGATTCCTAGGGACATCTAGTATATGTATGATCATGTTCCACACTTATATAACAACTCTTGATGTGTGTGTGATCTTGTATGCATGATCAAAGTGTATGTGTCACTAATGCATAAGTTTATGACCTATTAATGCAATCTTCAAGATAAAACTCAATAAACTCATTTTTATAAGTTCTAAGACTTTAAGATAACAATTACAAACAAAAATGACTAACTCTTATTTGGTCTTCACTTTGTCTTCAATCTTTAAGCCTTCATGTCCTTGCATAAGCTTTAGAACTTTGACTCCAAGTTGACTTTGCACATTTAAGTATCGTTATTAATTTTGCACTTTGCTTTGGTCTTCTAGTACCATTTGTGACTTGTTGCCATGCCTTCCATTGAGTGCATCCATGTTGAGGTATCTTGGTCCTTTGTAGGTGCTTTGTAATCATCAAAACTTCAATATCATAGTCTTTATAACCTATGGTTCAACATTCTACCCCCTAACTTCTCCTTCCTTCTTCTTATCTTATCTTATATTTGATTATTTAATTATTACTTTTTACCATAGTTATATTATGTCAAATGCCTAATATGTAAAAATGTAGGATCAAAAATATAATTTCTAACTCTATTGGGGACAATATATAATTTCTTCATTATGCTTCTATTCTGGAATTGGAAAAATATAATAGGATTATCTTGAAACTCCTATTAATATTACACATCCGAATTAATGGTATACTTCGTAAATCCATCAAAATTAAATTGATGGCCAACTTTGGGATATTATAGTTCCTGCATGTGTTACATTGCTATGGATGGTGAGAATAGTTCCAAGCTTATAGGGTAGTGTTATTTCAATGATGAGAGTCTAGGTGTATTGAATAACTGGTTTAGAGAAGGGAGGAGAAAAGATATAATGGACAGATTTATGAAGTTTTAACTTAATTAAGTTAAAATATTTTAGGCTAAATTTCATAAAATCATCTTGTAGTTAGGGTCATTTTTAAAACACCACCTTACACTTTCAATTTAAACAATTAACCCCCATATAATATTAAATTAGAACAATTAAACATATTTAATAATCATATGACGAAAATATCCTTCTCCTACACCATCCCATCACCAATATAGTCAAAGAAACTTGATTAATTTGTATTACATAAATCTTCTTTTAAAGGAAATATATGCAACTTGAGTTTGGCTTAGAAACAATGGCACGATTAATGTGTTTGGAATAAGAAGGTTGGCGAGCTATGATGAATCTTCAGTTTGCCCCTTCATTTTGAAGCAAGTTCTCTGTGTTCATTTAAAAGGGTTTGGAAGAAATCACGATGTCAGAATTTTGAGTAAAATGTATGATTTTGTTTCTTTCCTTTGGTATATTTCGTTATAGCAAAATGCCCACATTTGCAATGGCTTACTTTGGGACAGGATCCAAAACCATTCTAATTAATGCAACACAAGAAAAGACTGAGGTCATAGGAAATGTTAATTCAATATATGAAACAATTTTTTTTTTTTGGTAATCAATATATGAAACAATTTAGTTCCTCTCCAAGATGCAACATGTTCAGTGTACTTTCTCCGAAACAAATTAAAGATATCTTATCATCTTTCTAGTTTGCAATAGTTATCAATCGCAGTATTTTGCAGCACTATTGTGCCGTCATATTGCCCAGCGTAGAAGGCGCTGGTTGATTACAGGGAACTGTGGTTAAAGCAAGAGGGGATGGTGTTGGGATGGGAGCTATGTAGCACCGATACTGACATGGGATACGTGACACGATACGACACGACACTCCGACACGTTAATTCTAAAAAATATTAGATTTCGACACGTTAGGACACGTTTTGATATTAAATAATATTTTTAATTTATGTAGTATATAATTTTTAATATTCAATAATTAAACAAAAAAATGAATCTAAACTTATAATATTCATAAATTTTGCAAAAAAATATAAGATATCCCAAATATTTATATTAAACTCAATAAAATGGTAATCGTAATCCAACGATCTAATAGTTGGAACTAAAAACTCAACGCAACATAATCTTTGAACCTTTTTTTGAATTTTTATAACGCGTGTTGGAGTGTCGGGAGTGTCGGAGTGTCCGAGAGTGTCGGGAAGTGTCAGACACGACACGTCAAGATTTTTGAAGTGTCGGTGCTTCATAGGATGGGAGTAAGGGTATTTTTATCTTAAATTTATTAAATATGTTTATTTGTTATCATTTAATAGTTAAAGGGAGTTAATTGTTGGAATTGAAAATGTAAGGTGGTTTTCTAAAAATCACCCTAAGTAGAAGGTGGTTCAATGTAATTTGTCCAATTTTTTATGGGTTTAATGTATCTCTGGTCAATGCATATAACTTATCTCCAGTGAGCCTAAAACGATGTCATTTTGAGGTTGAGAAAAATATGTTTTTGTAATTTTAATTTATTCTAAGGTTATATTAGTCTTTGTCATTATAATTTGTTAATTTTTTAACTCTAAAACGACTTCATTTTGAGTTTACCGAAGATAACTTTAATTCCAGTGACTATAGAAACATTAAACCCTATTTTATTTTAAAATTTTAAATAATGCTGTGCAAAATGTTAAAAATCTTTTTCATAATTATCCAAAGGAAGTATTTTGGCATGAAACATTTTAAATACTCTTTAACTCCTTTAAAATTATTTATTCAAACATAGTTTGAAAGATGTCATTCATAAAAAAAATCCAAACATGAAAAAAATAAAAATAAAAACGAAATAAAATGAATTACAAAAGTATAAACTCTTACCCTTTCATTGTATGTAATTAAATAGAAAAAGAAAATGTATGCCTAACATTTCGTTAGTTTTTACGATGCTTAATTTTGTCTATTATGAGCATTTATTCAATTGATTTTTTAAATACACTCCTAAGTGCTTGTTTATGAGATCTTTATTTTAGCTTCTATTCTCTTTATAAGTTGAAGCTAGACCAGCACATATTTGAATAGAAGCTTTTATAATAAAAAAACTTTTTTCTAATAAAAAAGCCAAAACCCAAAATTTCCTAGAAAAATCTTTTTTTTAATTGTATCAGTTTTTTTTTTAAATATTTTTTTTTTGAAATGAATAGCTTTTAAATAATTTTTAAGCTAAAAGTTTATATAATCATCAAATACCTTGTAACTTTGTTTTTAAAGCTATTACTTTTAGTTTAAAAAAGAAAGGTTCAATACAGGCTCTAAATGGTATAAAAATTGAATGGCTTAAGCCTTAGTCTATTAGGATTGGTCTAATGATAAAAAATTTGAGTAATTTATATTAAGTTGTGTATTCAATTTCTATTGTATGATTGTATCTCAAAAAAAAAAAAATTGAATGATTTTTAAAAAAAAAATTAAAAAACAAATCCAAATGACAAAGAAAACGAATTTCTAGATTTTTTCCCCACTTTGCGCGCACTTATTTCTCCGGAAAGTTGTCCAAAAAGAGAAAAATATCCAAATTGGAATCGAATGCCGCAGCCTGTAAAGATGGGTCTAAATAAAGAAATTAAAGAGTAAATATTTTTTTTAGTCTCTAATAAAAAATACGGTTCTTACTTTAGTTTTTTATAAAAATAAATTAGTCAGTTAGTCTCTAACAAATTCAAAGTAGATCCATTTAGTTGAAATTGTGGTTTCTCACAAATTCAAAAAGAGCCATATTAGTTCCTCGAAAGGACTAAAATGGGTCCACCTTGAATTTGTTAAGGACTAACTGACTAATTTATTTTTGTAATGAACTAAAGCGGGATCATATTTTTATTAGAGATTAAAAATGGTGTTTATTCAAAAATAAAATTTCCTTGCACCGCAACGACGCTCGGGTACACGTGTCCCTTTCGCCTCTTAGCTCCTTACAAACGCAAGGTTTCTGAAACCGGTTCAAGAAGCGATCCGATTCGGTCCGGTTCTACTTTTACAATTGATTGATTCATTACAGCGTTGGCACCTTCTTAGCCCAACTCTATTCCTACGCTCCCTCGCTCTCTCTGTTTCTCAATTCTCGTTTATTCAATTCATTTCAATTTCTACTCTTTCTCTCTCTTAACCGTGCGGCGGATCTAGGTCACCGCCGTCGCGATCTCGAGTTGGATACGGTGGCGGCAATGGCGGAGTTGCCGGAAAATCGCCGGCACTCTTCTTCCAGTTCATCCAGTTCGAGCAATCTCTCTGTCGGAGTGGATCGTGAATTAGATGCCGGAAACAGAAGCACTGGCAAGCACGTGGAGGACAGTACAGATGCTGTTGCCAATGGAGGCTCCCTTGATAACGGTGGTAGCTCTTCAGCCTCAGGTTACTGCTACTCTCTCTCTCTCTCTCTCTCTCTGTCGAGTATTCTCTTTTATTCTTCTATTGAGCTCATGTTTTTGTAGACTAAGCAACTGTTATACGAAACAGAGAAAAAGAAGTTGAAACATAAAGGATACAAAAAAAAGAAAAGAAAAAAGAAAAAGAAAGGAGAGAAAATCAATTTATGGAGTTTAGTTTTTGTGGGAGTGGGATTGCGAGAATCATCTTTTCTTTGGAAGTTGATTTTTTTTTTTTTTTTTTTCTTGATTTGGCTTTAGCTTTGGGTGTTTTGTGCAGTTTGTTCGTTCGCTCGTTTTTTATTTATTTTTTTCCCGGGAAATAAAGTGAACTGAAAATATGGACCAAAAAACTAATCATTAGGATTTCGAGTAGGACTAATGTATTTGAGCCCATAAAGTCGCGTATGCACCGTAGCGTGTAAGTTACTATGGAAGGTGAGAATTTGGCATGGGTACGAGGTGTAGTGATCTAATTCTGACATGACGTGGCACCCTTTGACAAGAGCAACCAACACAACCAAAACCGCAAATTGATGCAGCGTTGGGCATTCTTGGCTTCATTCTGCACAAGTCCATACCTTTGCAAAGCGCAGCAATGCATGGATGAACTCTCCACCTCACATTCCTACGTTACCTGACCATATGGTTTTTCAAAGTGTAACACTATTTTCAGTATTATAACATGCACCCAGACTATCGATTGCTGCTGACTGCAATGCAGCTTGATGCACCTGAAGCCTGGCAGCCTTTCCTTGTCCGATCCCTTGAAAGACAACTTCTTATCAAATGCTTTAACTTTGATGAGAAGTTCATCAACGGGTATCGATGCAAAAGCCCGGCTACGTGGAGGACGACTCACTACTGCCTAAGCCCATCAAATTGGATCTACCTGAGTCATTCATATGCCTTGTCTCGAGTTGAGGACAAGCCTTGTCTCAATTGAGGAAGGAATTTTACGTACCAAGGTCTTTGTGTGATATCAGTTAGCATTTACTTGCTTCCAATATTAGAAAGATGATATCAATTAGTCTTGATTAGTATCTATTAACATTAACATTTGTTCTCTTTTACCTTTTTAGTATGCATTAGAATTTATTGGGTTTACATTTTAGTATTTCAATTCCTTGCTATAAAGGTCACAATGGCTGAATGGAATAAACAAAATTAATTCCTTCCAATCATTCTCTCAATCTTTTATCTCTCTCCCAATCAATCTCTCACTCCTGTCTTTCTTGCCCTTCTCTGTCATTTATCTGCAATTTTGTCCCCCGTTTAGAAATTCACTTAACACTTGCCATAAACGTTGTTGAAGAGAACCCTAACACATTTGATGGTCCTGGTGCATGCTAGCCCCTTCAGCTTGAAGAAAATGAGATTGCTTCTCTCTGATCTTTGCTTTTATTGTGCCTTGTTTCTCCACTCTCTGGTTGCTCTGGTACCTTGTTCTGATTTGCAAAACAAGACTGGGGTGTGCAACTTATCTTTTGCTTTCGCTTTGTTCTAGTGTGTCCCATCTTCTGCTGTTGTTGTAGCACTTCTTTGTTTCTTTTTAGCAACGTGCTAGACCACCCTGCACTAGAGTATACTCTAGGAGGGGGCACACAACACACTTTAGCATGACCAAAGAAGAGGTGGGAAAATCAGTTGAGGCAACAAACGAAAGGCACGAAGTATTTAAGAAAAGGGAGGAAAAAAGGAAGGTTAAGAAAGGATTGAGTAATAGTGAATATAGGAGAGTCCAGGTCTCTCCAGCGCTTGCATTATCATGTCCATTTCTATTTTTGCATACTATTTCCTTTCTCTATATTTTGCTATACCCAATGACTTGTGTTTACTACTGCTAGCCGAAGTTTAATACCAAAACTCCCTTTTTCCTCTTAATTTTACTGTTTCAGTGCTTGAGACCTTCCATAACGTTTCTGTTGTAGCAACGTTTTTGTTTCTCTGCTTTTCTCTGTTTGGATGGCTTGTAGCACTATTATCTGTTGAAGAAAAAGTTTCTGGTTTTTGAAAAAAATGTCTCTGTTCTATGTTTGTGTTTGGATGGACAATAGTAACCCGATAATTAAGGCAGACTAGATGACGTGCAGGATTTATGAAACGAGGAATATAGGAGAGTTGGCACCAGTTAATATGAATTAAAACTGCTTCAAATTGGTGAGTTAGCACCAACTAATATGAACCAAAGCCAGAGAAAATACCTGCAAATGTCAAGGCTTATGTTATGGCATTGTTTCTGGAATTAAAAATAAATAAATATAATGGCTGGTTGAGTGTGTGGGTAAGATGAGGGAATAAACTTGTTAGTTTTGGATCTGTGTGAGGAGAAATTCATCTATCTATCTGTTTTTTTGTTTCTTCTGGTGTGTTATTTGTAATATTAGAATACCTCTCTCCATTAGAGATTATTCTATTCAGTAAAGCAACATTGTTCAGTGTGAGACTCTTGGGGAATTCTATCTTGAGGGAGAGCTTGCCCAATCAGCGTCGGTGTAATCGCAAATTTCTACATGCCCTTTTTTTTTATATATATAAAAGTCCTTTGCCAGGAGTTCCTTTGATGTATGGGAGAATCATGATAGCTGCATCTCAATGAGAGTCACATGGGGAATCAAGAAATTGGTTCAGTATGTTCATTACAAATGAAATATCTAATCTTGTTACGTTACGGTAAAATAATTTAACTTCCCAATTAGCTTGAGGTCGGGGCTTTGCCTTGTCAAATACCCACTTTTGACACTAAGGGGCAACCTTTCTACCATAGTTATCAAATGCGGATTGTGGCATGTCGCGGCCAACTCCGAAAAACGCTATAGCGTTATAGCGGGTTGCGGTTGTGGAAACAGCGAAATAGATATATGACAGAAATAATGACAAAAAGAAACATTTTTAAAGGCACAGATAGTAGAAGTGACAGAGAGACGCGAATAGACTAAAAAACCCTTAAATTTTTGTTACACATTTAAATTTAGAACAAAATTGACATTTTGCCTTATGACAACAATATGGCAGCAAATGCGATCGCAATGGCCGCTATTGCGTTCCGGTGTGGCGCGACGCGTTTCTTGCGGCGAGGCACCGCAACGCCCATACAACGCGGCGCTATTACGGCGCAATTAACTACTATGCTTTCTACGCACTCCTCACTACTCTCACCACCAGAACTTCCCCCACAACTCATTCTCAAAAGAAAAAGCAAGAAGCAATTGAACGGAAATGGAGGTACCTTGCAGATGAAATCATCAAAGAAAAGGAGGACGAGATGGTGGCAGGGAAGTCGCAAAACTTGAGACACCTGTGGAAAGAGGATCAAAGAAGGGAATATGCATGATAATATCGATATCAGAGACCTGTGTGGCTGAAGCAGAGAAAGGTTGATCAACAAATGTGACATAATCAGATACAATATAACATTGGAGGTTTGGAGAGTAGCAACAATATCCCTTCTAAAGATGAGCATAACCAGCAAAGAGGAACTTGAAAGCTTTAGCCGTAAGCTTGCCTTTCCCTGGAGTAAGATCATGAACAAAAAGTGTATAACCAAAGACACGAGGAGGCACCAGATTCATAGTAGCATCAGGGGTCTAGATATGGGAGGAACTTCTTTATTTAACACAGAGGAAGACACGTGGTTTGTAAGATAACATGATGTAAACATAGCTTCTCCCCAAAAGTGAAGAGGAACATTTATATGCAGGAGTAGAGTTTTTGTTGTTTCAACTAGTTGCCAATTTTTACGTTCAACATTGCTATTCTATTACAGAGTATGAGGGAAAGTAGTTTGATGTAAGGTACCCTATTGAGACAAGAATTCCTACAGGTCAGAGGCATATATTCCAACGCATTGTCGCTATGCATAACATGAATCTTGGTTCTAAATTGGCTATGAACTTCAACATAAAATTTCTGATAAATAGAGAACAATTCAGAATGATTTTTCATCAAGAAGACCTGTAGGAAAAGTAGTCATCAATAAAGGTCTCAAATATAGGAATCCTATACTGAACCTAACCCGACTTGGATCCCAAATATCTGAGTGAGAAAGACAAAAAGGAGCCTCTACCCTTTTGTTGTCACGACGTGCAAAGGAAGAGCGTGTGTGTTTGCCCTTATTAACCAAACTCACAATCAAATGATTGTAAACGAGACAGATGATAGACCATCTTCTAAAGTTTGGATAGACTTGGATGTTCAAGATTGTGAATGAGGTCAGGAGCATCTCTCATCGTATGTGTCATTTAGGGACTAGGTACAATATGATGGTAAAGGCCGCATGACTCACTATCAAATTCAATTGTCATCCCTAAACTCGAATCTTGTCACAGAAATTTTGTAGAAAAGATTACGGAACAATGAAGAGAACAAATGAGTCAACTGACAGATATTAAATTGGAAGGGAAACCAGGAACATGAAGAACTGAGGTCAAAGGTAAAAAGGAACACGGTTGTGCTTGTCCAATGCCAACAACTATCTTGGAACCTTCAGCAAGGGTAGTTGGAAGTAAATTGTCTGAATAGATAAGAGATGTGAGAAGATCCTTATAACCACAATGATGATTATGATGATCATGACTTGAATTATTTGCTTGATTATTGTTGTACTGTTCACACACACACACATGTTTGAAGCTTTGAATATAATTTTGTATCTTAGTTAGGATCTTACTACCTGCATTACAATCTCACGATTTACGAGTTTCCTCCCCCTTCCAATCCAAGGTAGGATCTCAAATTTGACTACCTTTGATAAGATATCCTCCTAAAGAAACCAATGAAAAATAGAAACCAATGAAACCAGAAAAACTTGTTAAGTAAGCAAGGCTTGTTAGTGTCGTGTATATTTGACAAGAAAACCCTCTTATCTTCTTAATGTTGATTCTGTGTAGGATTTCATAACATTTTGAAATAGTACATCTATTTTCTCTGAACCTTCTATTAAGTACATTATTTGTTTAGTTTTATTGCTCATTTAGCTATATCTTTCATTTGTCTTGTTTTCCTCTTTATTCAGGCTTTCCTGGCGGGGAGTTGTCTAAAGCGACCACACTGCCAGCGGACATATCACTTGGAGATAAATTGGAGTTGGACATATCACATGGAGATAAATTGGAGTCAAGTTCAAGTAAGTTTAAATTGGAAAGGTCTAAAACAGAGAGACAAAAACATCTAAGGCCTGAAGATGCAGCACAGATTTTTGATGACAAAATTCCTGTCCAGGAGAAGGTATGTCATTGTGATCTATAATGTTTTTTGCATTTTCCGTTTCCCCTTATGTCAGAGGCAGCATATCTATTTTGTGGCATTGGTTCTCCAGAAGTTGATAAATATTTTCATGTATATGGGTAAAAGAGAAACTTTTTTGTCCGCAAAAGAAAGAAGAAACTCTCATGCTATGTTTGGATGGAGGATTTGGTAAGAAAAATGAGGGCGGGAAAGATTTCAAGTAAATCTCACTCTTGCCTGAGTTTCTTAAATTAAGGGAAAATAGGGGATTATAATGTAATGCCCAAAACTCTTCCTTTTTAATTTTTATGAACATTTTAAAGTAATCGAATTTGGAGGATTTTAAACCTCCAAAATAGGAGAAAAAACTTATTAGCCACCATTCTCGTATGTTCCGTTCCCCTTTATTTCCTTTGGATCACCTCCCCTCCTAACTTTCATGCATAGCCATAGAGACAGTTTGATATCCCTTGAAGACTGGGGTAAAATAATAAGGGATGGGGTTTTACTACAATTTTTCTTATAAAGCTCACCGTGGAAATTTCCACCCTCATTTTTTAAGTAGATACTACTAGGATTCTTAAATACCTATATTAGTAGTAACCAAAGTATAAGTGTTTTATTTTAGAGTTTAGTAGTTAAAACCATTCAATATCAATATCAACATCAACAATACCTTTATTCCAAACTAGTTGGCATTGGCAGTAGATAAACCCAAATAAAAAGTAAGAAAAGATTGAGGGAAAAGAAGGGAAAATCAACATCAACAACACCTTTATCTTAATCTAGTTGGGGTCGGTGGTAGATGAACACAAATGAAATATACGAAAAATTTGAGAACAAGATAAAAAAAATAAATAAAAAAATTAAGTGTATATATATATATATATATATATATATAACATCCATAAAAAGTAGTAGACACTTAGAAGGAAAAATAAACTAAAATAAACTAAAAATAAAGATATATAGGAAGACAAAAAAGAATAAGAGTAAGAAATAAAAAAAATGAAAATAAAAGGAATATAGGGAAAAAAAGAAAAAGAAAAAGAAAAACACATAAGTAAATAAATAAGAGAAAGTAGATTGAAAGGAAAAATGAAATAAAATAAAAAGAAGGAAAAAAGAAAGAAAGAGAGGTAGATGAAGAGGAAAAGGACTAGAAATGGATCATCTGAAACATAGCAATAAAAACGGATGTAATCCTCCACTATGCTTATAGTTTTTCTTCAATCCGTCATAAGACACACCTTTCGCCAATCTATCCTACTCGATTAAATCTTGTTTTACTACCTTCCCTCAAGTAAGTTTTGGTCTACCTCTACCTCTCTTTGTATCAAACTCTTGGTAACACACTTTTGTTCTTACGGGAGCATCTATGGGTCTTCTCATTACGTGCCCAAACCACCTCAGTTTATATTCTCTCATTTTTTCAGCTACCGTTACTACTCCTATCTTTCGTCTAATATCTTCATTTCTTATTTTATCCATCCTCGTATAACCACATATCCATCTTCACATCCTCATTTTCGCTACTCCCATTTTATGCTCATGTTGCCTATGTGCTGACCAACATTCAGCTCCATATAATATTGCAGGCTTTACTGTTGTTTTATAGAATTTTCTTTTTAGCCTTAGGAGGATTTTGCGGTCACACAAAAATCAGATGCACCACGCTATTTCATCCATTCTGCTCTGATTTTATGAAGCTAGTGCAAAATTGATCTCTCCACTTTTTGCAAAATTTATCTCGGATATCTAAAAGCATTTTTCTTGAGTACCTCTTATCCAAGCAGATGCATGAAATCTTGATCTCTGTCTTTTACCAGAGAGAACTCATACTTCATATATTCAATCTTGCTCCGGTTTAATGTAAATCCTTTAGACTCCAAGGCGAAAAGCACAATATCATCTGCAAAAAGTATACACCAAGGAACTTCTTTTGAATATCTTTTGTTGGTTCATCCATAACTAGGGCAAAAAGATAAGGACTTAGAGCAGAATCTTGGTGTACACTTACCGTGATAGGAAAATAACTTGATATTCCATTACAAGCTTTCACACATGTCGTAACACCATCATACATATCATTGATTGCATCTATTTGATGGTACTTTTTCTTACCAAGAACCCACCATAAAACTTTTCTTGGAAGTCTATTCTATGCCTGCTCAAGATCATATAAGTCCTTTTTCTTTTCTCGATATCTTTTTATTAATTGTCGCATCAAGAAAATGGCTTCCATGGTACATTTTCCTAGCATAAACCCAAATTGATTTACATAGACCTTGGTCTCTCTTCTCAAGCGATGTTTAATGACTCTCTCTCACAACTTCATAGTATGGCTCATAAACTTAATGCCTCTATAGTTAAAACAATTTGAATATCTCCTTTGTTTTGGTAAATAGGCACAAGAATACTTTCCTCCATACATCAAGCATCTTATTTATTTGAAGAATCTTATTGAAAAGATTGGTCAACCATTTTATTGCCACATCCCCCAAGTCTCTCCACACTTCAATAGGGACACTATTGGGTCCCAAAGCTTTACTAGTCTTCATCTTCTTTAAAGCCTCCTTAACTTCCTGTGCTTTGATTCTGCGCACAAATCTTCTATTCAAATCATCATATGCGTCCTCCAAGTCCACCTTGCTTTTATCTCCATCCCCATTAAAAAACTTATTAATGTAGTTCATCCACCTTTCTCTTATCTCTATATCTCTTACCAAAAGTTTTTGATTTCATCCTTGATGCATCTAACCTGGGTGAGGTCTTTATTTTTCTTATCTCTCATTTGTGCAAGCTTATATATACTTTTTTCACCACTCTTGCTCCCAAAATTTTTATACAAATTGGCGAAAACCTTGCCTCTAGTTTCTCGCACTACTTTCTTGGCATTTTTTCTAGCCAATCTAACCTTTTGCAAGTTCTCATCATCAAGAATTTTATGCAAACATCTGAAGCATTCCTTCTTCTGTTTAATTGCCTCATGCACCTTTTCATTCCACCACCACATTTCCTTTGTTTGAAATCCATTCTCTTTGCTTTCTCCTAACACCCTCCTTCCCACATTTTGGATACACAAAGCCATCTTATTTCACATCTCATTTGCTGCTCCATCAAACTCCCATGGTCTTTTATGAAACATTATTTCCTTGAACTCTTTCGGTTTTTCCTCTTTTAGCTTCCAGAATCTTATCCTTGGGTTTTGAGCACTCTTCCTCATTTTATATACTTTGTTTAACTGAACCTCTAGGACAACCAATTAAAAAATTGATAAATAAATAAAAATTATAATTTAAAAAAAGAATAAACAAAAAGGGGAAAATGTAGATAGATAAGAAAAAAATAAGTAAGAGGAAAAAATAGTAAAATTAAAATAGATAAATAAAAGCAAAAAATAAGTTATAGTGGAAAATAATTAAATAAATAAATAAAGCAATGAAGGGAATGTAGGGCAAAAAAGGACTAATGCAAGGTGTTTTGGGAAAATTCATGTTGCAAGGAAAAAGCCAAATTTCCAAAATGCACTATATTTCTTCCCAAACCCTAATATGAATTCGTTTTGGGGTTGCAGGAGATTATTTATTTCTTGTGACAGAAGAAATACTTTTCATAATCATTGAAGTATTAGTTGCAAGTCTGTTGATGTATATCTAGAAAATATTTCGTACTTCTTTTCATTATTTCTTAAAAAGAAGAAGATTAAAGCTAGATATTAATGTCCTTTTAAATTTTAATTTTCTTTTTATGGTCGTCTACATCAAAATTTGTTACATCCTTAAGTTTCACAATTTTAAGTGTAGGGTTTATCAACATATAGTTATTTCAATGATATATATTTTGAGTTTCTTAATTACAATAGCTTTGGTTAAATATCTGGACTAGAGAGGTATTTATTTGAATCTGGGGGTCTTAATTACGCAGCGGAGGCTTTATTAATAAATGAATAAAAAAGAATTACAAAGGAATAATACAAAATGTGAGACTTTGTCACTTGTGCTAAACTATTCTATTTACAATATTCTGAATGCTCCTCTTCAAGATGGAATGCAGTCATATGTGCCAATTTTGTTACATATGTTATCTATTCGAGGACCTCTCAAAGACTTAGTGAAATCATCTATCAATTAATCATTTGAGTTAACAAAACGAGCGATGATCTTTCTTGAGAGGACCTTTTCTTTGATGAAGTGACAATTTATTTCAATGTGCTTCGTCCTTTCATAAAACATTGGGTTAGAAGCAATATACAAAGCAACTTGATTATCGCAAATTAGTGTTGTTGGTCCAACGTATCCAAACTTGAGTTCTTTAAGCATGTTTTAGTCAGATGAGTTCCTAAATGGCTATGGGCAACTCAATCTAGAAACAACACTTTTTCTTACTTTTTCAGAAAATCAAGTTATCCCGACTCTTTTAACAGAGTTGTTTCCTCAAGAATATTCTTAACATATATTCTCTGGATATTGTTAATACTATCTTTGGATTGATTCACCTTTATACCTAAAATTTGTTGAAGTTCTCCAAGACTCTTAGTGTGAAGTGACTGTAGAGATGTTTTACCTGAGTCATGCCATGATGATCATTACTTGTAATGATCATATTATCATCGATCAACATATGCAACCAAATAAATGCTTCTCACAATTCAATGGTGATAAAGCTCGAGTGATCAACTTCACTCTAAGGTAGCCAAATTGTTGGATTGTCATACTAAATCTTCCAAATCAAGCTTGTTGAGATTGTTTGAGTCCATAAAGAGTCTTGGGGAAACGATAAACTGGGATAGAATACTCCCCTTGCACAATGAATCTAAGATGTTGCTCCATATAGACTTACTCATATAGATCACCATGAAAAAAAAAAAAATTCTTGATTTTGACAAAGTGAACAATGATGAATTATATCTTTAGACAAAAAGATATTAACCAATGCCATTTTGGCCGCGAGAGTTATTTCTCCATAACTCGTCTCCTTTGTGATGCGACCTACTCCAA